TCATTCCTTAGGGGTTACATCTCTCTTTTCTCATGTCTCTTTCACTGTTTGTTATTATACTACAGCTAGGCCCAAGGACACGCTATTTTACAGGTGCAGGACTTGGAATTAGCCACGGTTTTGTACTTTTCCATTCTCTAGCAGCTAAATTCCCAAGTTTAATGCCTCTAGGAAGCCCTTAGGCATAGTGTGAGTGATTAAGACAAAGTATCTCAAAGCTGAGGGCAGATCAGTGAGAACAGACATGCATTTTTTATAATCCAAAATAATTACACCCCAACCTGGTAAAAAGCTATTACATCACTTAAATCATTAGATGTTAGGTCAAATCCCTGTTTCCATTAGAATAGAACAGAGAAGGAAATAAATGCTTTTAAATTATTTTCATTTCTGTAGTATATGGAGTCCAATTTTTACACCAAGAAAGAAATGCCCTGCATGCCATATGCAGAGCCTTCAGAGCATTTCAATCTATGGCAAATATTCAGTCCTTTGTTGTCTTGAGCAAGCCTGTGTGTTCATTGCTAAGCCTAATCACTTTATATAAATGGCTTAGCTAGAAATAGATTTAGATCTAAGCCATTGCTTGTAGAGGTGTCACTGCTATTTGTTTTTCATTTTTGCTTGGAGCTGTATCACCATAGGCTGGAAGCTGCCACTATATATAGAGCCTGTGTATAATCAGATTTCTTAACGTTTACCATGACTCCCATGGCTCTAGAATGTATTTTTCAGTTGACATTTAAGAACCTGCTGAATCCATTGTCTCCAATACATCCTCTGTATTATTTCTGTTGAGAAATGAGAAATGATGCTAGCTGATGATATATGTGTTAATTTTGGCTTAAAAGATTGCATACCCTGACCCAGAGAAAGTCATACACAGATACATTGTTTGATCTGATTCAAGTTGTTCAAAATTTTAAATTAATATTTCTTTCTGTGAGACTTGGTCTTGCAAACTTTCATTACCTTTTGTGGAATTAATTGCAACAAATTAGAAAGAACCAAGAAAGAACTGGAATGTGAAGATTAACCATTCCATGAGACCGTTTGATTGTATTTCATCTGACAGCTAGTACTATTTGGTGTGTGATAATTAGGTTCTTCAAATCAAAGAAGCTTTTAAATGTTTTTCCATATTGTTTTGTTCTTCAGTGTATTTATATTCTCTCTAGTATATATGTAAATTATTTAAAGCAAAACGAAATTTAAAACTAAGTAAATTCATCTCTACTGGCAAAAAATGCCATACAAACTGCTCTGGAGTCTAGAGCTCCCTGTTCACTGACATACGCAAGGCCTTTCCTCGAGGGCAAAGGAAACAGATGTAAGGAAAAAAGACATTAAAAGCATTCATTTTTTCTCTGCATTGATCTCTGCCCAGCTCAAAGAAGAAGTGAACAGACTTCAGCTGTAATTTCCTTAAAGAAACAAAAAATGAGCCTGCCACAAATACAGTGATTAGAAAAACAGACAGACACAGGGAGAAGAAATTTTCGGTGATATACTAAGCAAGAAGCAGCAGACCTCAAGGAGAAACTGGTCAGAGAAAACCAGAAGTAATAGATGGTGAAAATTCCAGCGAGAGTTGTGGACACATCTGCTATGATGGAGAAAGCTAGGCAAATAAGAAATAAGCAAAAAGAAAAAAAAAGTTCAGTTTCCTGTCTCAATTAAGAGATGTCTATTTTAAGAACACTGAGGGACACCCAGGAAGATATTTTTGAAAGACAGTCAAAATTTGGTCATGCCACTAGTGACCTGAAACCAATCTAAACCAGTGACTTCAGGGCAACTGCCTCACACTTCCTACTGCCAGTCTCCCAAGTTAGCCAAGACTTCCTTTTCTGCTTTCTAGCCCTGCTCAGTTTTCATTGTCTTTTAGATTCCTTCTGGGATTTGATATTGTTTTCTGTAAAGTTGCTTTCATTCCCTCTTATTAGTAGTTGTAGACTATTTTGTGTATTACTTTCAAGTTCATTTCATAGTTACTCGTGTCATTACTTTTTGTATTTTTTTGCTACTAATAGCATGAAATGTGCATAGATTTTTTCAGCTGCTTCTTAATGATACATGAAGAAGCATGTATAGCATATATAACTGTGCTTGAACAAAACTTGAGTGCAGTGAATCCCTCAGGAAATACTATGAGTGGCATTAACTGGAATTCTGGAATTGTACCAAACTAAATAGAACTATATGCACTACCTTAATGAGCATTTGATAAAATATAGAAAGGAGACATCTAATTTTCTATTTTTATTTTCTTCTGATTTCTGTTTCTCATCATTATACATTGTTTAATACTTTAAATTTCTTTTGCAGAAACATTTAACCTAAAACTCAGATCATCTTAGGAAAACCAGCAGTATAGGAATGGTTACTTCAGATGTTTCTCCTGTTCATAGAATAGCATGTACCAGAGGAGCACCTGCTTCCTGCCTTCTACCTAGAAAACTTGATCCATGTTTGATACTGAAGACTGCCTAGAATTCATAAACTAGATGATCACAACCTTGAGGAAAGAAAAAAAAAATTAGTTTAGTGCAGAATGGAACAGTAGTAACTAAAATCTGAGTTAGTGCATTTAAAATCTGTACAAAACATGATCATCTCAGGCAGCATCACATAGGTATATTAGGTTCCATAATGGCAGTATCATCAATGGGTTGAACTTTAGTCTCAGGCAAAAGAAAATACTTCTATAATTTTGGGTTTTTTTATAAATATACCTTTGACAATTCTTGTAACAAAGGGATATTTTCCAAAGGAATGATCTCTTATTCATGAAAGCCACATGAGTGAAAAAACCCCCCTTACAAATGTGTGGATGTGACACATAGGCCATGGTGTTAGCAGTGAACAAGGTGGTGCTGGGCTAATGGTTTGACATGATCATTAGGAAGGTCTTTTCCAAGTTTAACAGTTCTATGATTCTCTGGTCTAGATTATCAGAGGGACCATGTCTCTCTGTCATTCAGTGAAAGGCATTTGGTCTCCCTTTAAATGCATCCAATCAATTTTATCCCATTCCTCAATGTTTTTGAAACACAGTAGGCATAAATAATTCTTGGTGCCACAGAACTTCTATTTATATTCATTCTAGATAACACAGAAAGTGTTTGCAAAATAGGTTTATAGGGATATGCAGTAATAGTGATCAGTCATTTCAGTATCAAAAGTGACCATTGCCTTCAGGACCATGGACAGGATCCCACTGAAGAACGCCTCCTTGGCACAGCACAGGCTGTGCTCACTGTAGGAACAGGATTTGGACCTGAATACACATTTTGGTTATGCTGTCTTTGCAATGTTATTTTGTGTCTGAAGGCATTATAAGTAAAGTAGTCACACAGCACTGACAATTTGCAGGATTGCCTTCATCTTCTTCAGTTTTACATTTAAAAAAATTAGTTTGGCATTGAAAAAGTAGGAAGACAAGGAAGTGTAGAAATCAAAGAAATGTATTGATGAATATTTATTTATACTGTTGTCATTATTAGGGACTATTTTGTTTCTACAGAAGAATTATGTGTAACAAAGTGATATTTCCATGTGCCAGTGAGAATGCAATCAATTATTTAACTATTTAATTCCCACAAGAGCATTTTATTTTTCATGGAAAGCTCTTTATGTTTATTTTTAGGTTAAGAAAAAATTACACCAGGTAGTTACAGTTCAGGTCCTTCTGACTAAATTTAATTAATTCCCAGCATTCAACCAGTTTTATTTTATGAGGCTCCACCATCTGTGTATTTTGCAGATTGCACTCATGATCTTCTGAGCCCCCAGCATTAACTTTCTTTTTTAATTTTATTTCCACCAAATTTGATGCAATTGTTAGAACTCTGGTCACAGATCATCAAGGAAAAGGGGCTGAGAATATTTTTTAAAACACAGCCAGAGTTCATTGTCCAGATGTGTGCACCTTTGTTTTGAGTTGTGACACGCATTTAAGGAAAGCTGGGCTGGGAAACTGCTTCACCTACCCATGTCCATAAAGGACCTTAATGGCTCTTTATTGCGAACCACTTGGAAAGACATTTGCAGTGCCTTTCAGTCTCAAAGAGCTTTGATAAAATCAGAAGCAAGCAAAAAGGTTTTGAAGTGCTCAGCATTGAAGGTTGTCTGAATTGTGTGGGAAGGTTTATGAACATAATGAACTGAAATTATGCTCACTATTATCAAGTATAAGTATTTTTTACCTGTATCTATGAATATAAGGTGAGTGTTTCTCCATAAACCAAACTGCAACCACTGCATTGTTTATCAGAGAGACCCAGGATCCTAAATTCTTCAGTGCACTTTGAAAATCCTGGTATCACTCACCTGCACCCCAATGTTTGGAATATATACACATACCTAGAAAGTTTTTTTGCATGCAGATATGGCTTCTGATGAACCAAAAGCAGTCAAGAGAGGAAAATCAGACATGAAAGTTTAGAGGGTGTTTGATTAGTTTCATATTAGCTCTGAACTTTGGGCATTCTTTCTTTCTAATTGCAGGATGAAGGGAAGTGCAGACCCCTAGAAGTAACAAAGCTGGAAGGAGCAGAAATTGGTGTCGACACAAGTCTGGGTAAACCATTTGTTTTTAAATGTATACCTCAAGCTGGAAACAGGATTTTCTACTTCTGTGCAACTTCCAATCAAGAAATGAAGAGGTAAGAAATCTTTCATTTTAATGGCTTCTATTTTGTTACTCCAGTATGGGAAGAAGGAGGTTGCATCTTTGGAGGATGTTCACAATACCTACCTTGATCCTTAGGGAAAAAAATTAAAAATCTATCAGCAATTTAAGGGAAGATAATGTTTCTATTTCTCAGTTGCAGAAGCTTCAACAATTATTTTTCAGTTTCATAGCTTTTTTCTTTAAATAAAATCTTTAACATTCACATTGTGTTACCCCCCTGATTTCTTCATTTATCCTGAGAACAAAAACTTCACCCCTATTCTCATGCCTTCTCTCCCACTTTTATATCAAATGGAAATGTAAGTTTTCCTGTGGATGTAAACTTGCTTATCAGTCTCTCTTCTGCCCAACAAGGATAGCGCTAGTAACAAATACAATCCCATCTTCATCTCCTTTTCTGTCACATTTTCATTTTAGTATTTTAAAATGCAAATGTGCCACAAAAACATGTTGGTTCTGATAAGAGGCCATGTCTTTAGGTTTGACACAGAGTTAGAATTTAAAAATAATGTTTTTCGTTTCCCAAAGATAACAGGTGACAAAACAAAGAGATTAAAATCACCCATAATATTTTAAAGGGTTTTTACATTTCCCACGAATTCATTGTCTACATTATAACAAAGACAAGGAGAGTAATCATTTAGCCTGACAAGTTGAACTATATTTGAACTATACATTTTGATATATGGATTCTCCTGTCTGCAATATTGCCTTTATTTATTACACTGTGTTACACAGCAAGCTTTGTGACCTAAATTTTGGAGAGCCAGTAATGTTTATTTAGATTTAATCCATTCGTTTTCTGAATTAAAGCCTTAAATATGTCCTGAAAATTGTGCATCCCTTTAGATGCTGCATATGTCAGCAAGAATTGGAAGAGGCAGTGAAGCACATTTGTTCTGATCTACCGGACTAATCTATTCTCACTTTTTGTCATATTACAGGTGGCTGGAGGCTATGGATAAAGCAGTGCATCCCATCCATCAGGTAATGCTGTATTTAGGTGAGAAGTGTGTGTACAGCAGATTGTGCAGAAGACTGAGAGAGAGTGTAGCTGGGTCAGATGCAGACAACATGGAAGCTGCACACTCTTGTTCTGTTGGTCTGTGAACTACTTCCAATCTAAGAGCCATATACAGAATTATGACTCAGCTTATATGCTTTGCTGCAATATGGTGGAATTAATCAAAATACTTCCTCTCCAGATATGAGCAGCTTTAGGCTGGTTTCGAAACATAACATGAAATTATTGTAGCAGGCAGAAAGCAAGGCCTTGTGTTAAGCCTTAGGTAATACTGTTCAGTTTAAAAGAAGAGAAGGGCCATATCTTCCTAAGTATTCCCCACATTTCTGCCTTGATTGCAGTCAACCCACTTTTTCCAACAGAATATTGGGTGACAATGAGACATGATTGCTGAGTTCTTATTTTCTGTGTTTTCAGAGATAAAGAAAGATAAGTATGTTGATAAAAATTGACTTAACCATCTCTTTACACTGTTATGTTCTTTGCTGGCCCCTGTGGCTGGGAAAAATACAGTCATAATTGATCTTGAGCTGCTACTTGGAGATGTTACTCAGCCCAGCATAATTCAGTATCAATGGTCTCTGGCTGACCCCTGAAATGGGACTTGAAAAGCTAACTTTAGTATTTCCAGACTTTGAACCATAGAGGTCAAAGACATTTTAGTCTGCCCTTTCCTGGCCCTGTGAGTCCTACTCTCCTGCTATAGACAAACCACCTTTATAAAAATATGAAATTTGCAAGGTACAAATTAAAAGCTGCATTTATGAGTGAAAAAAAATTATATGAGTGATTCCTTCAGCAGTATTTCATGATAGGTTTAAAAACAGTGAACGGTGTTTCTTGATGCTTTAGTACCTTTTGATGTAAAATTGATTGAACATATATTTCTTGTGGCTTTAGCTTTCACATGAGGTTGTAAGTGCGAAACCAAACTAGTTTCCAAGTATATTCTTCCTGAGCACTTCTCAATATGAGGGAATCCACACACTTGAAAACAGCAAAAATAGATCAAATAATTGAAAGTGTGTATCCTAACCTAAAGAAACATTAAAACAGCCTGAGCCAAAAAAGAATAATAAAGGCTTACACAGAAAAAAAACACATCAAAAGAGTCAATCTTTAGTGTAGAATGCATAAAACAGTTAGATAAAATTTCCAGCATTGAACATACAGAAAGATCACTCATGCATTCATCCATTAACAACACAGTAAAAAAAA